ATACGAGGGGCATACCAAAAGTTTTTTACCTGATCATGAAAAAAAAGGAAGAAAGCTGAAATTTGGTACTAAGCATAGTCTTTCTTTATGTTCGCCTCCCAGTGTTATACATGTTTGCCATCTGTTTACGACCTTGAAAAGACCTTGAGAATAGAGGGCCCTCTCTATGTCAGAAAACCAGCCCTCTACCGCTTCTTTGACCTCATCATCACTTTTTATGCACCAAAATTTTATCACAGCCTAGGATGGGCAATCAGTTCCATATACGGCATGCATCTCTGTAGAAATATCCTGTAGTTGCTTGCCTTGCAAGAACAAATACTTCATTACTGCCATGCGCTCAATTTTCTCCATTTTTATGTTGAAACTGGTGAACAACACACCCCCATTCACTTACAGTGTGCTGGTGGTAAAACGAGTAATCTGAAATTCACCCAAATTTACAAGCATTCTATGAAGATAATTGTTGGCTTTCACCCGAAATTTCAGCTTTCTACCTTTATTCCTTCATGGTCAGGTAAAAAAACTTTTGGTATGCCCCTCGTATATGTGAGGCATCATAGTCAAACCAGGTGCTCGTCAAAAGAATGAAATCAAAGATATTGGCATTTTCCTGCAGGTGTGTCAATTTTTATCAAATTTTTCTTTTTTAATTCAACACCTTTTATGTCCTTTTAAAAACACAGTTTTGTGTGGGTTTTTACCGACATTAAAACGTTGATTAAAAGAACAAAAAATGTAAATTTTCAGTTTCCGAGGACTCTCAAGCTTTGAAAATCACCAAACTCTGAAGCCAATTGCTCGCTAATTTTACCTCTGAAATCAGGCGACCTCATCTCGTTTGACTGCAAATATCTCGACTTTTTTTCAAGATAGAAGGGGATGTTTTTTCATCGAAAGATATACCACTTTCCAAAAAAAATTGACGAGCGCTTGATTCCACCGCTCCATGACACACATATAGTATGTTATTATATAAACTGCACTGAACGCCATGAGAAAGAAAACATTTTTAATAGGCTATAAAAAAGCCAAATATGCTCGAATTGACAAGCCTTTGAGGAAACAAAAGAGAAGTTGTTAGTTCACATACTCATGCACAATTTTTGCTATTTCCAAGGGCACTTTTTAATCCAAATACAGTAAATTATGCTTTAATAAAATGTGTTCATTGGACGTAGTGTTACTGATGAAAAGAATTCTATTTACCTGGAAGATAACATGTAACTCTTTACACACAAATGTCCTGGCTTTTTTGTGATCAATTTTAAATTTCTTTCATTACAAGATGTCCCATCTTAGTGAAGTCAACGGCAATAACCTTTTAATTAAATAGGGCATTGACATAATGTTTAGGGCTTCTTGTTGGTGAAGCTGTTTTGTTGGAGGCCATCAATATCTAAATCTAGGATGTTGCAATTCAAGTCTATGGGTGAGCATGACAGTGCCTGGTCTAGGATTATAATTCAAGTCTATGGGCAGCCATGACAGTGTCTGTTCTAGGACTATAATTCAAATTTATGGGAGGCCATGACAGTGCTGGTCTAGGATTATAATTCAAGTTTATGGGAGGCCATGACAGTGCCTGGTCTAGGATTATAATTCAAGTTTATGGGAGGCCATGACAGTGCCTGGTCTAGGATTATAATTCAAGTTTATGGGAGGCCATGACAGTGCCAGGTCCAGGTTACTATAATTAATTCAATTCCATGCAAAATAATCATCAAAAGAAATAAAAGACCAACTGGTTCAATAATTTAAGTCTATGGGCAGCCATAACAGTGCCAGTCGAGGATATTATTATAATTCAAGTCTATGCAAAAAACAATCAAAAGAAATAAAGGATTTAACTAGTTTTGGATTATAATTCAAGTCTATGGGTGGCAATGACAGTGCCCTGTCTAGGATTATAATTCAAATAACCAAAGAAATTAAAGGACTAACTTCCATTTTGAGACAGCCGCATTTCATAAGGTTCAGGGAAGGCAATGACACAGACAGAGATGATAGCGTCTTTGCCCAGTGATCCGAACCCCTCGGCCATCTCCGTGTCGTCACATGCTCGGGGTTTGCCTGTACAGAAGGGAGATATGAGAAGATTAAGTTAAAAAAAACAACAACCCAAAAACCATATATATAGGAGTGTTCTTACGCCCCCATCAACACAATTTAGATGATTTAGGAGGCAGGCTCCTGACCTGCTTCCAGGGCCAACCTGAATTGAGGGGGGACACAACATCCCAGCAAAAAGACAGAGAAACTCGATAAAAATTTTTCCCCACTCGAGAATCAAACTCAGGTCTATTGCGTGCAACAACAAAGCCCCTAATCATAAGACCAAAGATGGTAAAATTGTGAAATGGTATTGGTTTACACCCCTATCAAATGCCAAAGATGGTAAAATTGTGAAATGGTATTGGTTTACACCCCTATCAAATGCCAAAGATGGTAAAATTGTGAAATGGTATTGGTTTACACCCCTATCAAATGCCAAAGATGAGGGAAGATTAATTAAGCTAATTTATGGAAGAGAAACACTTGAAGAGTAGGCTAATCTATGAGAGAGAAAGAGACAAAGATAAAGCTTATACATGGGAGGGAAAACAGTGAAGATTAAGCTAATCTATGCGAGGGAAAAGAGTGAAGATTAAACTATACAACCCAAGGGAAGGCAATTGGTGAAGGTTCAGCTAATCTATGAGAGTGAAACAGGTGAAGGTTCAGCTAATCTATGAGAGGAAAACAGGTGAAGGTTCAGCTAATCAACGAGAGGGAAACAGGTGAGGATTAAGGTGAATATTATGCTAATCTATGTGACGGAAACCGGTGGAAATTAAGCTAATCTATGTGTGGGAAGCAGGTGAAGATTATGCTAATCCCTGTGAAGGAAACAGTTATATAAGACTAAACTAATCAATGGGAAAGAAACAGGTGAAGATTATGCTAATCTATGGGAAAGAAGCAGGCCAAGATTTGGCTGATCTATGGGAAGGGAAGAGATGAAGATTAAGCTAGTCTATGGGAAGGAAACAGGAGAAAATTATGCTAATCTATGTGAGGGAAATGAGATGCTTTCAAAGATAGTTGAGCATCTCCTACAGAGATTATGTTACAAATGAGGAGGTGAGGGACAAAATCAGGCACGCCATTCAACCCTATGAAGATCTTCTCACCACAGTGAAGAAACGTAAACTGATATGGTATGGACGCATAACAAGATCAACAGGACTTGCAAAGATGATCAGACAGGGCACTGTACAGGGAGGGAGAAGGAAAGGCAGACAGAAAAAGAGATAGGAAGACAATATTTCGGAATGGACACATTTAATGTCGGGTGAAGCTCTTTGAAAGGCTGAAAATAGAGAAGGATGGAGAAAAGTGGTTGCCCGATCATCCCTGGTGCCCCAACGGTCAACTAAGACTAAGGGATGCTTCCCGGGAAGCTGAGAATGTTTCTGAGCGTTCTATGGTCTGCTGGGGTAATAATATAGTGTAAAGCGCATAAAGTTTGTTTTCGAGTGGGGACATGCGCTATACAAATGCTACTCATTATTATTATCATTATTATTATTATAACTTGGAACTTGGAAAGTGAGGGAAACATCTGAGTTTATGCTAATCTATGGGAGGGAAACGGGTGAAGCTTAAGCTAATCTATGGGACGGAAACAGGTGAGATTAAGTTAATCTATGGGAGGGAAACATGTGAAGATTAAGCTAATCGACCCTGTTACATGTCAATCTATCGTTACATTGTTATATCCCCAGCCACTGATTAAGCCATTCTTTCATCCGTCCATCTTTCATCCCTTCCACCAGTCGATCTATCAAACAGACTGTAACACTAAATTTCACAGTGTCTATCTAGGCTATCTGTCTGTCCATCCGTCCGTCCATCTGTCCGTTCGTTCATCCGTCTGTCTATCTATCTATCTAGATCTATCTATTCCAATTTTTCTACACTATTTTTGACTGGTTAATGAATCGATGGATTAAGTGAATAAATATTTAGCATAAGTGATTGGTTTCCTGTTTGATAACAACTGAAAATAGAGTTTGTGTATCTGTTTTTGTTTGTTTATTTGCATATATTGCAGTAGCTTGTTTTTTTGTGAATATGGGGTGAGGAAGGGGGGGGGGGTAGTTTTTCTTTTTAAAAAAATTTGTTTGTTAGTTTTGTTTTGTTTTTAGTTTGTTTGCTTCTTTGTATGTTTTTTTGGAGGGATGTTTTGGGTGGTTTGTTTATTTGGTGGTTTGTCTGTTTGATTTTTAAATTTTTTAAATTTTTTTTTTTTTGGGGGGGGGAGGGAGTTTAAATTTGTTACTCTTGGTTTGGTGGTTGTAAAGAGGGAGTGATGGGGATCATGAATATTTTATTTTTGGGGTTATGGGAGGAGGAAAGGGGGGGGGGGGGGGTTGAGGGGAACGTTCATTGGGCTTCTGGTGGTCTGCTTGATTTGTTTGTTTTGGGTTTTTTGTGTGTTTTTTTATAGGGGGGGGGGGGGGGGGGGTGGATAAGTAGATAATCTACATAATTAAACAAAATTAGACTAAGAATGATGTTAACCCTATCCGTACGTCGTATTTTACTATCATATCCATGCGACCTGGAGAACTCTGTGCCTCCACTTTCCAATGAGGAAATTTACTTGTTTATTCGATTCGTACGCTTAACATAGCAGTCTGTCAAAATTATTTTTTGAGAAATACTGAAAGTTTCAAAGAGATCTTCGTACTAGAAGTATTCTAAAAATGTGAAGAATATAACCCAGGGTGTACAAAATTACCCCAGAGCGTACGTATAGGGTTAACAAGAACAGTGGGTGGTTGGCAGATGCTCTTGTTTGGTTTGCTACTTCTCTCCTATCAAACATCTGTCGTCCTTATCTCTCCTTTTTTTTGGTATGTTATTCCCTAATAACCCCTCTAATCTTAGGTACTTGTATGACCTATCCGTGTTGCAAGTGCCAAAAAACTCTTACTAAAACTAAAATCAACAAGGACAAGTATAACAAAGCATTTGCAACACAATTAGGTAATAAAATGCCGAAGATTAGAGGTGTTACAAGAGAGTAACAAACACAGAAAAAAAGGAGGAGAGATGAGGACCATAGATGTTCGATAGGAAAGAAGGAGCAAATCACACCAGAGCACCCGCCAGCCACTCACAGAAGAGAGCAGTTTCCTCACATTTGACGTGAACGTCCAGTGTCTTCCACTGAGTTCTGAGGTTCTGGGGACCCACGCCGTTCTCTGCATGACATTGGTACCGGCCGGAGTCCTCGCAGGTCAGCTGGACAGGGAGGGTCAAGGAGGCCGTTGACCTTGTCTATGGGCGGAGATATATAATGTTTATACGTCCGGTTAGATTATTGTGTTGGTGGTGGGGGCAGGATGGGACTAGAAGCCGCTGACCTTGTCTGTGGACGGATATATGAGTCATTTTTTTAAAAATGTCATATTTTATGTTCTCATTTTTAAAAAAAATTAACTTTTATGAAAAATTTTGAAATAATATTAATGAACTCAATCAACCATCTATAGACATAAATGTGACATATCTGAGCTTAATTCCGTCAAATTATAGCGTAACGGCAACTTTTGTGTTAGCTTCCTAGGAAAAATGTTTTCTCCTGTTACTAACAGAAATCAAAGAGCTGTGTTACTGGAATACGTTTTGGGGGGGCTTATGCAATATCATGTTGGTGAAACGAGGTCTATTCATCTGGCAAATAGTAATAAAAAACACTTCAGTTTTACAAACCACGGAAAATTATTTCGGATTAAAGTGCCAATTTAAAAACCAATGAATATTTTAGAGTTTCAGTTTGATCTCTAAGATCAAACACATTGTGATCACATGAATTTCTATTTCTTTTAGAAGTAAGGTGAAGCAAATCCCACACTTATGTTTTAAAACAAAGTTCAAGATTTTTTTTAATGAACGTAAAGAGAGGCGGTAACAGGAAGGAAAAGTGGGTAACAGGAGAGAAAGTGGGTAACTGGGGGGAATATTAAAGACTGTTATCAGGTTTTAACAGCAAATCTCACCAAGAAGGAAACACTTGTGTACATACGTTATTAGTGATATCATCTAAAGGAATAACTGAAGAATGGATGGGGAAAGTTAAAGGCAAGTAACATATTCTGTCGAGACGTTATTTACTGGGTGTAGTTACCAGTGTAAATAAACGAAGGCATCAAACAATAAGTGGGCCTCAAAACGAAATATATCGAGAGGATGGTTTGGACGCGTAATGAGAATGGGGCCACAACTGCCAGCCTCAAAGGTCTACAAGATGTGATTCGATGGCTTCAAAGCAAAAGGAAGGCTTAATAAAAAGATGGATCGCTGGAGTCAAAGACATCCTTCAAAGGCACAATATGCCAATCCAAAAAACAACACACCTGGCCCATGTCCGAGAACTGAATCTCTCCTCGACACCTCGCAGTATAAGAGATCAGATGTTGTTGTTGTTGTTGTTGTTTTCAAATCTCTTTAGCTGCGAGCATTCTGCTCTTGGCAGTGCAATGCCTCCCTTAAGTAACCACATGTCCTTGTCATCTGGTCAATGCCAGAGTAGAGCAGGCTTTGTAAGTCTGTAGGTGTGTAGGAGCCTGCGTTGAAGAACTGCCAGGTTTGGGCAGTGAAGGAGAAGAAGTTCAACGGTCTCCTCGTGGTAGTCACAGTGTCTGCAATGGGGTTCCCACTTGGGGTTAATTCTGATTGTTGGTGTGTAAGTGTCCTGTGCGGGCTCTGAAGATCAAAGTCTGATCGGCTGTACATTAAAAGAGATCAGATAAAGTAAAGTTACTGGTGTAGACAGTTGATTTTGCAAAGCCCCAACGTGGGTGCGGTGTATTTCCTCTTCCATTTTACTCAAACAATTTTGAGCGACGTTAGCATGTACTCTAGCTTCATTGGCTTGAAGATTGCTCCATGTCTTTCCTTAAACTGATGGTCAATATTAGAATCATGTAACTTGTACTGTCAAAACATTTTTTTTTGGAATAATGTCCACAATGCCATCAGTCTCTCAGCTTCTGTTCTCTTCTTAATGATACTTATTTTCTTCTGTTTGCCGCTCAGGATTTCTGTTTTCTTTCATTACTACCCATTTCTGCCACAGTGAGTCTCATGTTCTCAGAGTATGCTAGGATTGGATCCTTTTACTTTACTTCATCCTTCCTCTTACTTCATTAGATGTCGAGATGAGGTGCAATTTTCGATCAAGGTCAGTGTAGGTGGCTTCTGTTGTTGAAATGTTATTCTTTCGGAGGACCTCTATCCTCTATCCTCTATCCTCTATAACGCTATCCAGCCAAGTTTTGCGTGGTCTGCACCTGCCCTTGTAGACCTCTACCCTCTATAACGCTATCCAGCCAAGTTTTGCGTGGTCTGCACATGTCCTTGTAGACCTCTATCCTCTATAACGCTTTCCAGCCAAGTTTTGCGTGGTCTGCACCTGCCTTTGTATCCGGACATACTAGAGTTGTAAGTTCGTGAAGCTGGGTGATTTGGTGTCACTCTCATCAGATGACCGAACCACTTTATTCTTTGATGTTTTTGTTCCATAACCGGTTTATTCCCTGTCAAATTTCGTTTAATTCCTTATTAGTCTTTCGTCTTCCTGTTTTATAATATAGTAAGTCAGTGTTGGAAAGAATATTGTGAATAAGTCTTTGTACTTCGATTGGTAGATGTTTATGGGTGAGTAGTGCTGACAATTTATAGGTTTCTGCATTTGCTTTTGGGTCCTGATTTCAATTTTCCTAGGTCCAATCTTCCGTCATGTGTAAGCATGCTCCCAAGCTATTTAAATTCCTCAACTTTTTAAAGTTGTGTCCCGTCGATGGTGATGTTTAGTAGTGGACTGGGCTGCAATGATCACACGATCTGTGCATGCAGGTTTTGGCCAAACTTGAGCAGGAATAACCTTCAGATGAACACAATGCATAAACAATGCATCAGCTGTCAACTCTGTGTTATCACAAATCTTGCACGTACAAGTGTTTCGATCTGATTCTGTAGCTTTCTTAAAGACCCTAAATTAAATAGCCTCCATCGCCAAAAGCTTGTAAAACAGATGTTTGAACTGCTTTGGTGCTGTCTGTACAGATGTTCTACGATGTTATTCAACAAACGTTTTTGGGTTTCAAAAAATCTCTTTCAAGGTAACAATATTTTTTAATTATTCAAAATTCTCAAGTTGTCAGGCCCGAAGAAAAAAACCCAACCTAAATGTGCACTTTCTCCATCTGCAGAGTTGAAAGCACTTTTTTCTTCAGTTTCCTTTTGTTCTTTACGTTGAGAGTTCTACAAAATTAAAATTTGCTCTGGATTTTGTACTTTCTTAATATTTCTCCAGAAGCTAACATTCGAATACTTTAAAAAAATTTTTTTTTTATCGGTCTTTCAATTCATCCATGAGAGCAAAAGGACTTTTCAGTATTCTTTTCACAGCCTTCTTGCTCTCAGATAACGTTTTCATTTTCAACTTTAATTTTCTTTTTCTCTGCACTGTTTTCATTGCAAACCTACATTTTAGTCTAGAAAAAAAAAAAACTCATGAGGATGGGGCATCTGTTGTTTTGTCATCGGCACTGTTTGATTTCCTCTTCAGATTTGTGTCTTTCTTCGTTTTTCTCCATTCCAGACATACTGCCCTATGGTCTCTTGAAATCATACAAACAACAGGTTTCCTTTCCCTTTGTTCTTTGTCTTTGATGCAGTTCTACTTTTTATATCGCACGTAGTGCAGTCTCTTCACTGGGTTCTTGTTTCGCATCTCTCTGTCTTTCCTTTATTACTTTTTTTTCAGCAGGAGTCAGCTTTGTCGCTGGGGAAAAATAGCAAATATTAAGTCCTGTTTGAAAAATCAGCTATCAATAGGGCCTTCCCTTCATACAATTAATCTAGATCTAGCATAAGTGGCATAGTGCTGAAGTCAACTAAGCTGAGCTGATTTCATGTGTGACAAATTTTCTGCGAAGAGAATTGTAAATGGGCTGATTCATCGATGTCATGCTCATCACTGTGCCTGAACTGCAACAGGGGACTGCTGCTTTTTCTTTCCTAATCCTTACTATCGTAATTTTCCTCTACTTCTTTTTTATTTTTGTCACACTCCTGTGACCCGGTATTTCCTAGGTGCCTTGACAGTCGAAGCAGACTTTGTGCTGTTGAAGCTAGAGAGGTGAGCAGAGTAAGTCTGATTCCCTGTAAGGACTTCTCTGTTGACATCCACCCCTTGGCGCTCATATGACCTTATGCAGTTGCGAGCGCCGTAAAACCTCTACTAAAACTGAAACTGAAGATTCTTATTTCTTACTTCAGTCTACATCTACGTCTCTGCAACAACGCAAAATGCACTTCTAAATCTGCATCTAAATAAAAGATCTAGATCTAGACCTACATTTTAAGAATTCTTTGGTTAAAACAATAAATTGTTGCAGGTTTAACGCCCTTATAAGATTATTTCAGAGGTGGGATGTCTGAATTTAACGTCCTCTCCGAAAGGATGGAGCTAAATGGAAATGGCAAATTCGTGTTAAATGCCTTTCTCAAGGACAAAAGGTTGGACTGAACTGAGGCTCGAACCCCTAAACCCACAATATCACTATTACTTAGAACTCTTCGATATCATTTATCAAAATAGAAGGTTCTAGACTTTGGTGGAACAAAAGTAGGTTGCATTATTATTATCATCGATGTAGGAAATATGAAAGGTTTTGTCTCTCATTTTACTCTGTTGTTCCCTTGCTGTTGCTCTCAATTCCATCCTGTTACCTAAATTACAGAATCACGATACAGAAGTTTGTTGTAAAAGTGCAGACATATCTTTAATACAATAACTATTCTGTTTTGTTTGTGCATAAATGACCCATTTTCAACCCGAACTTTGGTCCGTTTACCTGTTTGACTCTTCCCCCCCCCCCCCCCTTCTTGCTATCTTGCATTCTCTCCTAATACTCTCAATTCCGTCCTGTTACTCAAAGATAAAAATTATAATTCAGGTGTTCTATTGAAAAAGCACAAACATGCCTTTAGTTTTAACCTCTTACATTTACTCTATAAAGCGCAGAATACCTCACATTCTAACCCAAACTGTGGTCAGTTAAGCTATTGAGCACATTCCCTTCACTCCTGTTACTTTATTCTCTCCTGTTACCAAAACCCGGGAAACAGCAGGGAAAGTAACAGGAGGGAATTCTGTACATCATTATCCTGACGACCACTCACTGGGTAGAGCTAATGTTATGGATTGTCTTACCATTAAATGTAACCTGGGCAGACTTCTTAACCAAAGGAGAGTGTATCGGATTTCTGTATACTAAGTCATTATAGACCCCGGTAACAGGAGGGACATGTATGCTCAAATACTCCCCATGTTGAGCTGAACTTGGCTCTGTATCTTTCAATCGTGCATTGCATAAGCTCCGCTGTCTCATGTCATATAAAGGAACAAGAAGGGAGTCTTCACTCGCAAAATCTCAAAGAAAATAAATCTATATCTAGGGACCATTCATCAGTGTGAAATGCTGGGTAACAGGAGAGAAGTTTGAAATCGATTAAGCAAAATATGGAGATAAAGAGTTAATTAACAAATATACGACAAGGACGGGCACCAAGAATTTTTAGCTCCGCTAATGCTGTTCAATACTCTGTATAACTGTGAAATATTTAATCTCTGGAGCAGTGAATTTTATCCGTAAGCATGTTTTAAAAAACATATACATGTTGCGGAAATTGTCATTTTTGCCTACTGAGCAAGATTTACAAAAGAACTGTATGTAAAATTTCAATGACTTGGGCAGTTTTGAAAACCTGATTTTAAGGTCAAGGAATGTTTTACCTTGTTCATGAACATAGTCAATGGCAATTCTAAGCAATATTTTATATTGGTATCCATGGAATTAGAACTGGAATCACAAATATAAAAAATGCAATATTAAAAAAAAAAAGACTCATATATATGTCCGGTTAGGATATTTTTATTTGTCTATTTTTTAGGGGGATTAGGGGGTGTGAGGAGAGGGGAAAAGGTGGATGAGGGGGGTAAAGGGGCGGGAAGAGGAATGGGGGAGGTGATATGGGGCCAGGAGAGGGCATACCATAGTATACCATGCCGTACCGGACCATACGGTACCGGACCGTACCGTACCATACCACATACCACACAACACCACACCACACCACACCACACCACACCACACCACACCAAGCATTACCTTGCCTATGGATGTTTTGAGAGGTTTATCCTCCTTATACAAAGTGATGTTCGCCCAAGGACTGCCCGCTGTTTCACACATGAAGGCTGCAGTACCTTCAGGAACGGCCGCTTTTCCTAAATAGTTGCTGATGTACAAATTTTCCACAAGCGCTGGCACTTGAAACACAGACGAGATGGAACGACAATCTTACATGATGATGACTTAACTGGGACGACACACACACACACACACACAGAGAGAGAGAGAGAGAGAGAGAGAGAGGGAGAA